TCCACCTGCAACTCTTCACCTTCAGCTTCCTTTTCAACAATCCATTCAGTTGCTACATTAGCTGCCTCATTGAATTTCAAAAGGAATTCTTGAATTCTGCTCAGGACAGCATGTTTCTCAGAGGATCTCTCTCTCTCTCTCTCTCTCTCTCTCTCTCTCTCTCACACACACACACACACACACACACACACACACACACACACACTCTCACTCACACTCTGGGCATGCACCTCATCAAATAGCTCTTGGTTTACCGGACAATCCACTGTGTTGCTGAAGGTGGAATTTTCTTGCTCACTCATGCCTCACTTCATTCCATCAGTAAGTCCTGGGTCCTCTACACTCAAGAGTGTCTTTGGGCTCCCAGGAGTGTCCAACTGGACTGCATGCAGTGGATGATAGCTACAAATGCAGGCCAACATAAAATCATGAACTTACTTAACACGTGGTTAGGGGGCGTTGTGTGATGTTTTAAAAAGTGAATAAATAGTCCTTGCATATCAGAGAATTGGACTTGCCTGTAAGTTAGAATGAATATTTGTGCTCCTATAAAATTTGCATATTAGAAACCTCCAAGATGATATTACTTAGAGGTGGAAACTCAGGGGAGGCTATTAGGTCATGAAGGTGGAGCTCTCATGAACAGGATTAGTGCCCTTATGAAAGGGGCCAGTGTATTGGCCCCAAATAGCCTACCTTGTCTTCATCTCCAACCCTTCCCTGTGGCTGTCTCTGCTGCTTTGGGTCTTTGCAAATGTGCTATCTTCTCCCCCAGACTGCCACAAAGTTACCCCTTCTCTCTTACTCCCCCCAATTCCCATATACTTGGCTTTTTCTCCTTCTCTTTGGGTTTAAGTATTACCTCCTAGATGGGGTTTCTCAGCTGTTCCATGCCCCCCATGTGAGATTATTTCCATAAAAAGCACTTTGACTTGGGTTACATTTTGATTTCTCTGTGCTCTTGCATTATCGTCTAGACAAGGGCGTATCTATTTCATTCGCCCCTGCGGGGAGAAGAGAATTGTGGGCGCAGAAGACATTCGGCAAATGCTTTCTGAATGAATGGGTCTGGTAAGAAGACCTTAGTGCTCTGCCTGCCACCGACTACTTTGACAAGACTGTACATCCTTTGTCGTGTTCGTGTATCTCTTGATTGTATTCAAAGGAGATCAATAGCTCTAGCCAGGGTTCTCGGTGATAAGATAAATCCAAATTTATGTTGACACTGCCAATTATAATCAAGGTGGGGAAAATCTGTTCAACGGTCATTTAGAAAAATTATTCTTAAAAAGCTGTCTCCCTAACTTTGTTCCCAAACTATAGTTTGATACGTGAGGAGTGGCCAAATTCAGGAAGAGCTCATGTTGGGATTTTAATTAAAGGGAATCTGAAGGGGCCCCGTCCATGTCTTGCCACTGGTTGCTGGGATTCCATGACCAACATGTGACCCAAATAGAGAGGCGGTGAATTGTCTGCTTAGGGAGCAGTTTTAATTTTGACAGAGTGGTCCTCTGGTGCTATGGAAAGTTGGAGTCAGGCAACCTTATTCCTGATTGAGAAATCAGAATGCTGCATGATTTTCCATATAATACTTAAAATTCCCTGAGTTCTCATTTGTTTTCGAGTGAGAATGCATAAAAATTGCCCATCTGTCTTCGAGACCTGTTATGAAAAATCTCTGATGAAATCAGGCGCTCTCCTGTGCTCAGATATACAGAAAGCCTGGCGTGGATGAATTGGCAATTTTAAAGCGTTAAGTGGAGGAAAATCCCAATGAAGGTACCATTTTGTGGGATCCAGGAAACACATTTTCCTCTCCTTTCACTTGTTACGCTAATGTCTGTGCACTGACATGGCCAATTCCTCAATGAGGATACACACTCCACACTTGAAAATGAAACAGGCTGGCATTTGAGGAGATGGTATTTTCCGAACACACACACACACACACACACACACACACACACACACACACACACACACACACACACACACACACACACAGACCATTCTCTGCCCCGTCTGCCCTTGCCTCTTGTACCTCTTGTTTAGGAGCATCCATACTCAGTGCTTTGTCCCTGGCAGTAGATCAGCACTGTAAAACATCGCCACCTTCAGTTAAGAGAGCTTAGTGGTGTGTCTGCACACCCAGAAAGCACGTTCAGGCTACTCACTCCCAAGCTGTCTCTTTCCAAGTGTCTCCGCTTGATGAGTCTCCTCATTGGCCTGTCACTGTGTCTCTCTGTACAACTCCACAGAGCGAAAGAGAGAAGGGAGGAGGAGAGAGAAGGAACCTAGTAAATGAGTCTGGAATGAACACAAACTTAATCCACTCGCGAGGTTTTGCTAATGTCCCAGTGAAGCCGGCATACTTTTTGCATGACAGAATAACTCTGAAAGCGTGCATTTTCTTCAGACCTACCAACTGCCGCTCTGTGCAAACTGTACTTCTGAAGCCTGAGGGTTTAAACTTGTCCAAATGCTGAGTCTGACTTCATGATGGAATATGCCTCTTTGGTAAAGATGTATCTTTTTCTATCCAGGTTTAGAGGGCTTGAATATTTCAGTGAGTTTTCACAGAACAAAGAATCAGGCAGAGGTCGGCTGCTGAATTATCTGAGCAAGTCTGCATAGTTATGGGAAGAGCTGGGAGTAATAAAACATGAACCTGACATGTTCAATAACAGCTGCTTGGTATCAGCGGCCTTTTAAAGACAGGAGGTTTAAGACCCAAATCAATGACATTTTCCTCACAGCATGTGACCAGATCGATGAGTAGGATATTTACAAGAATGAAGTCATGCGTACTTCCCCTTCAACCTCAGGATACCCTCAATAAAGAGTCTGTGGTATCAGTGAAAGGGATGAGCCAGCAACCCCATAGGAACATTCCAGAAGCATGTGTTCTGTTTACACACATCACTCTTCCCAGCATAACGGCCTAACACAATTCTCCAAAGCCAGAGTTCACTCAGTCATCCCTTGGATCAGGTTACAGACTAACCTGTAGGGCAGCGCAAAAAATCAACCCCGCCTGTAGTTCCCAGACTCAGGCTCAGACCCTTCTTCCTATTGTCATGGGGGGACAGAAGCCACCTGTCATCACTTCTTAGAGATCCCAAGGTTCCATGGGTCCACTGCAGATTTCACTTGACACAATGATACCAAACCTCAGGACTCCAGCATGGACAAGCCCATTCTTCCATAATTTCCCTCCCAGGGAGGAAAATAAAAGGAAATGGAGGGGACTAGAAATGTGCTTGCCTGGTGTGTATCACACCTCGGGTTTGGTCTCCAGCGCTGCATAAACTGAACATTTTTGGTGACTTGTCATTTCAACATTCAAGAAGTGGAGGCAGGAGGATCAGAAACACAAGGTTATCCTTGGCTACACAGCAAGTCCAAGGACAGCCTGGGCTATATGAGTGAGGCCCTAGATTTAAAAAAAATACATATTAGAATAAAGAATATACAATGCTGGAGAACACATAAGGTGTATTTCTTAATGTAGGCTGCTGTGGATGGGCAGTGTGTTATGTATGCTTAAAGAAATTAAATTGACCAGTTTGCTTCTCCCAGAAAGTAGAATCCATTTAACTTGACCGAATCCTTTCTTTCTTTTCTCTCTGCCTCATGCTAATTTTCTACTATGGACACAGATCTCCATATTTAGAAGTAAAATAAATGGGCATTTTAGGAGCCAACGTTGATGTTTAGTCTTAAAAGTTGGGTCGACCATGGCAACAGCAAATGGTCCATTATTTTCTTAAAGAAAACAATTTATCAAGCCTAGGAGCCAGAGAATTGTGTGGCAGCAATCGTCTCTGCCTCATAATTATAAATTTGTGAGGATCTGGTAAAATGCACAAATCCCAAAGAATTATAGTGTTTCATTGTGAGTCAGGATAAAGAACCCTGTTATTTGTAGACATTCTACATCATCAGAGATATTTAGGGAGGGTCAGATCTTAGCAATGATATTGTCTAACCTTGTTATTTTCCAGATGAGGAAATTTAAATTAAGCATTTCTTTTTTATTTTTTGAGACAGGGTTTCTCTGTGTTACCCTGGCTGTCCTGGAACTCACTCTGTAGACTAAACTGGCCTCAAACACAGGGATCCACCTGCCTCTCCCAAGTGCTGGTATTAAAGGCATGTGCCGCCACCACCTGGCAAGAACTTCTTAAGAGAACGCATTAAAGTACTTCACTATGCAACAGGCCTTCCAACTGTCCAAGCCACTTGAATAACTTACTAACTTTGAAATTCTCACTTCAGTTTAGCAAAAAAAAAAAAAATGGACTCGTTATAACAAAACTTACTTATTATATTTTGCATTTTTTTGGTTCAACATATCCCTTCCTTCCTCCTTCCCATCACTCACTCAAGGAAAGACTGGGTCATGGAACCCCACTGTCTTTGAGGATCTTTGCTAGACAATGAGCTGGTTACAAGCAAAAGTAGCTTCTTGGGGAACCCGTGTCCTTGAGGCACCCTGAGGAGGAGGTGAGGTTGGTGCGCCCACCTCCAGACTTGCTGCAGACGTGTTCAAGGATTGCCAGGGAACTGAGATGCAAAGGGCAGGTATATATCCTGGGAGAGTCAGAAGAAGCGGCTCAATGGGGCAACCTGGGATGCTCTTGTGGGGTGAGACAACAGCAGGGCATTATGGGAAAGGCAGAAGAGGCCCAAAGGCAAGAACAATGCCAGGTGGCCATACGAATCCAGAAAGATTGGATTTAGCAGTAGAGGAGAAGGGGAAGGCAGGGGGTTGGGAATAATGAATGCTGAGAAAAGAAGATAAATTATAAAGCGAACAAAAGAGCCATTGCAGACCATGCTAAAGAATTTTGCTATGAACAAAAAAGCCAGTGTTGTGACATTTTATATCATGTGTTATACCCCCCAAATCCCTTTCTGTTGTTTTTATTTTTAAATATATATAATGTATGCTATTATTTATTTAACATATTTCTTAAGCACTTTACATTTAAGCATATTTGTTTTTTTTAAAGAGATGGTCATGTTCTAAACAGAAAACCAGTATTTCTTTAAATAAATTCTAGGTCATCACTGAAATGAATGTGATGAACAGAAAACCCTCCAGTTTATTCATTGCTTACGAAAGTTTATTCATTGCTTATCAAAGTCGATGACCCTGAAGCCTGCAGTCAGTTTATTAAGGGATAGTCTACATTTTGGAGAAGAATTACATTCTAGCACCAAACTAAGACTCCTTAAACAAATGAGGAGGGAGAAGAAGGCTGAACACCAAATTGTTTTCTCACACTGTAAATGAGGTGTGTTTATCATGGGTCTGGGAGTATTTGACACAATGGGGATCCTCATCCCATACCTAAGGCAATATCATTTTAGGAAGCATGGGACATCTGAAGTTTGGGTGACAAATTCAATCTTACCCAAAGAGGGATTAACTGGACTAGAAAGAGAGATCAATGGGAGAAAGGAAACCAGTGTGTGATGGTTGTGGAAAAGGATCCCAGTATATCCCAGTTAGTGCAGTGAGGGTACAGAAAAGGGTCCAGATTTAAGAGGGATTTGGAATAAAGCCACAGATTTTTTCTGAGCAATGTGGGGCAGGGATCAAGGGAATAGAGGGACAGATGATGTTCTGGGGGTGAATGACTTACGAGACTATATAAATGACACTGTCATTGTTCAAGCCGGCATCAATAGGCTTGTGAGGTGGGCTTGAGGAAGGGGAAGAGTGGATGCAGACAGGGGTGGAGAGAGTCAGGTCCCTGGATTCAGATGCTCTGCCATTCAGAGGACCTTCCACATTCTAGATCCACATTGATGCTTATTGGAAAAATGTCTGAGTTTTGACACTTATGAGGTAACTGAAATTTTCTTGCTAATGCTCAGAGCATCCCACATGTCAGCTAGGTTATAGGAGACTCTTTTGCCTATAAATGAGCATCATAAACATCTGCCTCACTGCTGATGGTTTTAAAATTTTGTGACTCCATCAGGTAGACAAATTGAAGGCACGCTAGACATATTTACTGTCCTACGATGTGAAAGGTGAACACATCTAAAAGCAAAACATCATTAAAAACCTTCTTAGGTAAGCAATCTGCTGGGAGTTTTGAAGGACAGAGAGGCAAATTAAGCACAGATATTGTTCTCATAGAACTTGTAAAGACTAAGATAAAATTTCAGGAACTAAAATTATGTTCACGTGTCAAGAATTTATGCATAATTTCTAGAGAATAAATCTATCCTCAAAAATCTTCCTAGTAGCCATAGTTAATGTGAAATTTGTTTCCGTGGATGACTAGAGCGTTATGATGGTGCTGGAGCAAAACAACAATCAAGTGGATTTGGTGGTACTCTTAAAGAACTGAAAGGGAAAGCCTTGCCTGCCGTTAATAATTTGTTTATTATGCTGTGGATTTGTCCAGCTTGGGAGAACTATGTGGGTGTTTGTTGTTTGCTGCATTTCTACTCATCCAAATGTGTGACGTGGCAACAAGTCTGAGCATTCTCATGAAGCCCGTTAGTTAGTGTTGGTTCTTCATAAGCAGGCTTTTCTTCCTTGGCAATCAAGACGGGCTAGCAGGCACCGGTTTCCTCCAGAACCCACCAAACAGCCATAGACCTGAATGAGGAAAAAGACAACATTCCCAAATGTTGACACTCCTTCTTCAGTTTCTAGACCTTTCTGTGGAAAGAAGTGTTTTCATAGAACACAGACAGAATTCATTTACATAGAGCGTTCTTAATGGCTCCTGTCAGAACAAACAGCTGGGAAGCATATGGTACCCATTTCCCTGGATCACTTGGGGAAAAAAAAGTGCACATGTAAATAAAACCAACATAAAAGAGTGGCCCTTTGAACCCATGACCTTATATAATACATAAATATATCAGTACAGGATACTCATTGCATTGACCCACAAAGTCTTGTGGCTTTAAATATTTTTAATACATTCTAAGATTAATAGTTTTTAGGAGCTCCAAAGAAATCAAGATAATTGACAAAATATCAGCAGATGCCATGCCAAACAATAAGCGTGTGTCTCAGAATGTCTATGCATAGGTTTTCCAACAATATTTATAGATTTGGGGAAAGTTAGTGAGTAAAATCAAATGCCTATTTATGCCTTATGAGTTCCATGTTCTGTCTCCCTATTGCTTTATGTGAAACAGGCACTGTGTGATCTCATGGCAGAGAAAATGCCTTGGCAAAAATTTCTGGCAAATGATAACTTTGCATAGCTTCGTATTTTTAGAAAGAAAAGAGCTTAGAAAAGATAGGAAATTTTTACATTTACAGGGAACCGATTGGAATAATTGGCCTTTGCCTTTACATATTGACATTTCATAAATGATTTTAAAGAATCTAGCTTTTCCTGGCAATTATCACTCCTTTGGGTTATTAAGAGAGCGTAATTCACCCTGTAAAATTAAGCTGCAAATCCCTCAGAAGGATTCACTTTATGCATGTTAAAAGATTGAATGAATTGTGCAGAGAGAGAGAGACTCAAGTTCACATGCTTGTGTCTGTTGATCGTCTGCTCCAGGCCAAGCATTGTGTACGGCTCAGAACTCTAGATGCAAAGCAGTGTGGGTAAGAGAAGCAGGAGGTCATCTAGACACCTCCCTTCCCCCCTGGGTATCCCTTGCTATATGTTGCTCATTGGGAAGAAACCAACTCTCCCTCCATAGCTTTTAGAATTTGAGAGTCAGAAAAGTCTCCAGGGTGAACTGTGTGGTGCCAACCATCTGAACCCCATGCCGTGTTGTTGACCATTTGGAGAACAGAACTTGGGACTTTATAGTAGGCAGACTCAGGACACTCACTCATTTCTTTGTTTTATTCCCTAACTTCTTTTAGGACACATATCAGCACAAACAATGACTAGTAGCACACATGTAGAATGCCCTTTAACTGTAAGAATCCGTCATAACCAGGGGCTATTGTAAGTTACAAACCTGAGCACTCCTCCATGTCTCAGGGTCTTTCACCTTTTGGCTGTGCCCAGGGGCAAAGACAAGCAGGTTTGCTTACTCTGGGATGAAAGCCTTCCCAACTGCACTTGTTTCGTAGGAGAGAGGGTGATTGGAAGGAAGCTTTACCTGCCTGACGAAGGATGATAGAAACTAAGTCAGAAGAATAGAACCCTGTAGAGAAGCCTACCAGCCTGCAAGAGTGCTGTGTCATCTGCCTTCTAGTAGAGGAGTGTCTCAGAGAAAGTAGAGCCCTGCTGTAGCCGAGAACACTTCATGGGCTCACTCTGATAGGTGCTACTGGCGTCTGGCTTGTATTGAGGCTTACTAGAAGAGGTGGTGGTTTTTATCTTTACCTCCAACTGTGTCCGGCTGCCTCACAGTCCATCTCAACCAGCTCAATGTAGGCCAGCATGCCATCTTTATTTTAACTGCACAAAAACGAGAGAAATTTTAAGAACAATTCTGAGCACTGGTCTCCCTTCCCTATGCGCCCTCCACGACTTCCCCTTGCTCCTGTGTCTACCTTTCTCAACACGGAGGGCAGTGGTACTCTAAAGAGCATGTTCTGTTGTCAAATGGAAATGCATTGGGTTGTGTCATAGGCCGAGAAGTACCACGAAATGCCCTTGTGTGATGATTGTCTAGGATGCTTAGTAGAGGGTGGATTGACTCAACCATGGCCTGTCTCCCATGCATAGATAAGGACCTGACCACTTCATGCTTTTCTTTGCTATCCCTAACCATCGAATGGAAAACTGTCTAGTCCCACAGTAGGTCACAATTTGAGTTTGTAGAAGATGAGCTATATTTTCTTCACATGGATGCCTTAAACATTTGAGATGTGTGTACGTACAGGCAAGTACATGCTTATGCATGTGTATGTGAATACATATATCACTTGCTCACTGGCTTAGTTTAGAAGCTCATTCCTGTTCCGCTTTGGTTTTGTTTTAGCATGGTGGCAAACATGTAAATCGTGCCAGAGTTGCCCAGACATAAAACACCTGTCAGGGTTTCTTTATTTTAATTTTCTGCTTTTATCACTATCGCTACTTCAAGTAGTTCTGGGTCATTATGCCATGATGTTTTTACCTTTCTCTGCCTTGCAGTGGTAAGTATGAAGCATTAATTTTTTTTTTATTTTGTTTTGTTTTTCGAGACAGGGTTTCTCTGTGTAGCTTTGGATCCTGTCCTGGAACTCACTCTGTAGCCCAGGCTGGCCTCGAACTCACAGAGATCCACCTGTCTCTGCCTCCTGAGTGCTGGGATTAAAGGCGTGCGCCACCACCACCCAGCTAATTTTGGGCTGCAGAGGTGGCTCAGCCATTAAAAGCTAGGCTCACAACCAAATATAATTTTATGGATTTATGTCCTCTCACACTTTAACCCCTTACACAGGAGCCTACTGTGAGCATAACCTAAGTGAGCCATGTCTACCTATGTGGCCAAACTGTGTTCTTATTCCAACTTAATAGTCTCCTCTATTATTTTTTTTAAACAGTTTCTGGCTCTAGCTGGAATTGTGGTGTCTCAACTCTCATTACAAACCCACAAAAGCCCACTGGAATCGCTGATGTATACAGTAAGTTCCGCCCGGTGAAGCGCGTTTCTCCACTGAAACATCAGCCAGAGACTCTGGAAAACAATGAAAATGATGACCAAAAGAACAATACGGTGGAATACCAGAAAGCAGGGGAGACTGACCAGGGCCCCCCACCTGAGGAACTCAGCCCTGAAGATGGAGTCAGGGGGTTGCCAGGTAAGGGCTCAGAGCCCAGCCAGGCACTGGGCGAGCTGGAGCATTATGACCTTGACATGGATGAGATTCTGGATGTGCCTTACATTAAATCCAGTCAACAGCTGGCCCCGTTCACCAAGGTGACGTCAGAAAAAAGGATTTTGGGTTTATGCACAACCATCAATGGCCTGTCTGGGAAAGGCTGCCCTATTGGAAGCACTGAGAACGCCACATCCACCATGACTCCGTTCTGTGTTCTTTCTCCTGTGAAAAGCCCTCACTTAAGGAAAGCAAAGACTGTCCTCCGGGACCAGCACAAGCTCTCCACAGAAGAGTCTGAGAACTCACCTGCTCTGGGTAAATGTGTCCCTGCATATGAGTCAGAAAGCAGCAGTCAAGACTTCCTAAACAAGGCCTTTAGTGACCCCCATGGTCGAAAAACGGAGAAGACGGGGCCAGACTGCAAGCTCAGGGCCTTTCACCTGCAGGCCTCAGCGGCAGGGCCCAAACCGGAAGAGCAGGTCAACGGCATGACCTGGACCAACGGCCAAGGCTCAGAAGAAAGGAGTGAGCACCTGAAGAAAGTGAGAAGCATACTGAACATTGTGAAGGAAGGACAGATTTCGCTCTTGGTGAGTATTGCCTGTGTATTGGCCTGTCAGTCTGTCCGTCTGTCTCCAGACTCCATCTTCTAACAGGAAGAAGTGTTTGTTTCACATCTTTCCTTGAAGTGTTTTGGTTTTTAATTAGTTCTTTGAGAACTTCCTATCAAGTGTTCTGTTCCTCTCCTCTCCTCTTTGTTCTGTTTCTTGCTGAATCTTTACTTGTTGCTTTGGTGGGGCTGCGTGGAGTTTTTAGCGCTGAGGTCGGGAGGTTAATTCAGGGGACACAAATGGCTCCAGGAGAGAGTGAGCGCAGTTTAACATCGTCTGACCTCAGCTGGAATAAAGACATTTAATCTGAAAGGAAAACAAAACAAAGAGCCCAGCACTGTTTTCCAGTTCAGTTGTAAGGCCTTTTTTTTTTTCTCTTTGCTTTTCAAATGGCTCCCCATGCTCTCCATCCCTTTCTGTGGATGTCAGTTTTTAGCTGATGGCGGACCTGCCAGATCTGTGAACAGAGAACTCTCTGTTTCACCCTGATCATTATTCAGAAGAGTTGGGCTGGGGGGGGGGGGAAGCATTTGCAGATACAGCTTCCCCTAGAGTTTGATTGTTCTCTGACACACATGGGGTTTTTGCTTTGCTCCAGCCTGCGTGTCTAGGGAACATGAAGAATTGTCTCCAGAGACTCCAGACGCAGAGTTACTTGGTGTAGAAAGAAATATCTGTTGAGAAAGCCCAGCAGAAATAGCATCCCATCTGCTGCACTCTTCTTTTCTAGCTTCTAGGCACCGATCAAACAGTAGCAATCCTGGGCTCATACTCCAGTGATAATTAAAGTCTCATTCTTGGAAACTGACCGCATCGCAGCGTTTCCCCGTAATGTTAAGCGCGCACAGATAAACTACAACGTGCTGGGCCTGTTATCGCAAACAGGACAATGCAATGGAACGATTTTACCAAATGAAGCCATAACTGTTTTCTATTGAAAATGGCCTTTCCATTTTTCCTGGCTGTTCCCTCTGATTTTCTTTGGTTCATTCTTTTCCTTTGTCCCAGAAGTCACAAATGCTCACACCATTCAGCTTACCCAAAATATTCTGTCAAACACTTGATGCTCAGAGGACTGAATCTTACCAGAGACAGGGAAAAAAAAAACAAAAAACAAAAAACAAAAAAAACAGCCAAAGAACCAAGTTGCCTCCAGATATCCCAGATACCCCTGGGAGTCACTGATATGTCTAGAGGTTCCTATAAAGTGCTAGGAGCCACAGCCATTAGGTAACATGCAGAAGGAGCCAGGCTGACAAGTCAGGTCCTCCAAACAAGTTCTTTATTCATTCAACAAACCTACAACAGTCAATAAAGCATAGCCCTGTCCCTCAAGGACTTAGCCACAGTGTGGTGACAGAGACAGAGAAGCTGTTGCTTACCGTCAGTTTCAGCTCGGGGACCTAGAAAACCAGCCAGAAACCTTCACAACTCATTGGTCCTAACTCAGTAGCCCTTTCTCACACACAGCCATCTGTCCCTTGACAAAACATGTTCTCAAGCGTGAGTCTCAACCTTCCCAACGCTGTGACCCCTTAATTTAATTCTTCATGTTGTGGTGACCCCCCAACTGTTCAATTTGTCGTTACTTCATATTTGCTCCTGTTATGAATTGTAATGTAAATATCTGTTTTCGGATGTTCCTTCTTCCCTGTGCCCAGGAGAACCTCCATAGTGTCCTGTTTTGATTTATTGATTGAAGCCTTTCTCTCTCTCTCTCTCTCTCTCTCTCTCTCTCCAGCCACACCTAGCTGCAGACAATCTGGACAAAATTCACGACGAGAATGGCAACAATCTGTTACACGTTGCTGCATCGAAGGGCCATGCAGAATGCCTGCAACACCTCACCTCTCTGATGGGCGAAGACTGTCTCAGTGAGCGGAACACAGAGCAGCTGACTCCCGCCGGCCTGGCCATCAAGGTGACCGCTTGGGGGCTGAGCTGTTCCAGGCTTTGTCTGTGGATTTGATCTCCATTTTCTAAGATGTCTTGTGAGCTAAGCTCTCGGGAGGGGGAGAGGAGAGAGAGATTTGTTAAACAAACAACACGTGGATGTATTTTATGTAAGAAGTTAATCACTTGAGTCTCTACCACTCTGAGATGTTGATGGCATTTCAGCTTATTATCCAATAAGGACAATTTCTAAATCAGCCCACAAAGAGGGAAGAAGATGACCTCCTGCAGGGCGGAGAAATTTGTTATTCATGGTGATTGCAATTTGGATCCTGACCCACACCTGGATCTCTCAGAGACTGTGTCAATTTTCCCTAATGTGGGAATAAGAAGCAAGGAGAATTAGATCAAGGTGTGCTATTAAGAGAGGCTAGCACTTAGGAGTTTCTGACAATAATATAGGCTTTTAATGGATCAAATCTGAGTTTAAATGTCATCAGCATCAAAACTGTTTACAGCATCGCTGAGGATTCTGTATTTAGCTCTCCGAAATAGCACACTGTGCCTATTTGTCAAAGTGCACACAAATTAATGCCAACTGGGGTGGAGTTAGAACCTGGACCATAACACAAGAAAACAGGGACCTTTGTAACACTGTGGTAAGAGCATCTGAGATAGACCAAGTCACGAGAAGGTTCGCTATTACACTAAAATGGCTGTTAGGCTCTTTGGCAGCTAAGTGTGGAACTCAATCTTACTTATTAAGAATCCAGAAGTGAAGCTCAGAGAAATAGAATACATCTTGTACTTCTGCATACAGACTGCTTTACATAAATTTGAATCTCCTAAAAGCCAGATAACATCATTTTTATAAATGGAATTGCATAGGTGTTGAATAGGAGAACTGGCTAGCTAAAGAAACCCACTTGTGAACTTACCAAGTACCACATTTTATTTTTAAAATAATAAGTTTCTATACTATCTTAATATATCTTATATGTAAGGCTGACTTTTTAACGTTAATGCATTTATTGGTCAGTAAAGTTTATATGTTAAAAAATCTTGTTTTATTTCATTTTGCTCCCTGGTAAAACATGACTTCAAAATTTTCATAGTAAATATTTTGTTATAAAGAAATCTATGATGCCAGGGAATGTACTTTTCTCTGATTGTGAATGATGTCATACCAGATAAGAACTGAGTTTATTGCAGCCAATGTGAAGAAAAGAGAAAACAAATTTAAAGAAAAAAAAAACTCTTTTCAGTAGAGTTGAGTTCAGTTTGTACCGGAGCCAACCAGGTACTGTGTTATTAGGCACTGAAGGTAACAATTTGAATAAGACATAGTACCTATTCTTAAGGAGCTGATACCCCTAGTGAATAAATCAGGTACCTTGGTTACCGGTTGATAACGGTGTCAGATGGTTAAGTCATCATCTAACCCTGTGACAGAGTCCACGGAGATGAATGGATAGAGTGCGGTCATCCATGGGCAAATGTCAATGATAAATATCCTTATAACGCTGATGAAGGTTAGCATCCGCTATATTTATGGAATGCTTTAGTGTTCATGAAATACAGTTCTCATTTGTTTTCCTAACTAATGGTAGGTGATTGAGTATTCCCTTGTTATATAATTGAACGAAAGCCTATCTTTTAACTTATATGCCTTACTTCTTGTTTGGATAGATTAAAAATTTTAGAGCATGAAGGTTCATGAGCAACTTAGTCATCATTAAGCCAACCCTTGATGTGAATAGTTTCTACGTCATCTACACATGAGCTGTTGATTTATCCCTGAACTTCAGCCACCACAGTACAGCTATCACCAATAGGTCTGCAGACTTACACAGCAGTTTCCACTTTAGTTTGAAGGAAACACACACACACACACACACACACACACACACACACACACACACACACACACACACACACATCTAACACCCACAAGGCTAAGTTCTTTCAGATGTAGGGACTTGGGTTTCTGAATGATTTGAGAAAGTATTCTTTCTGTTCCATCCCAATTGTCCTGACAAAAAGCAGTAAGTCCCGAGCATTTCATACAAATACCTCCACCTTCACAGACATGACCTGCTACCTGCAGTTCATCTGTGTGCTTTGATTGACACTGGTGAAACTGGGAGTCTTAAGAAGCCGCCAGTCTCCTGTTTTAGGACCTTGTTTTGAACACATGCCACAACTGATGTGTTTCACCGCATTAAACAGTTCTAAGAGGGAGCTGGAGAGATGTTTGGTGGTTATAAGCACTTGCTACTCTTGCAAAGGACCAGAGTTTAGTTCCCATCACCTACTTGGTAGCTCATAGCTCACTGCAAATCCAGCTCCAGGGGATCTATTTGTACCCCCAGTGGATCTGATGCCCTCTTCTGTCCTTAAAAGGGCATCAGCATGCATGTGCACATACAAAACATATACATATAAAGTAAATCTTAAAAAGTAAAATAAAACAGGGCTGAGAGTCCTGCTGCCTGTCATTAAAGACGAACACACTTGGTACAAGTGGCCCACGTTTCTCAAATGGTGTGCCTCAGCTGACAGAAAGCATCCAGAGACAAATTGAAGAACATCATTTCCTGATTCTCAGACTCCTTAAACAGGACATAATAAATAACTATGCTCCTTACATTACATTGCAGACTTTATTGAGTGTTTTCCAGGAGACTCAAGAGTAGCTGCTTTGGGAGTTTGTGCCCTTTGGAAATGGTTAAGCAAAGTCACTGGGAAGAAAGAGATCTAAAAGACCTGATTTCTAAAGCAGCCTGTTTTGTAAAAGAATTGGCAGAAGGAATTATTTTAGGACTTGAACAAACTCAGAATGAAATAAACCTTACTCCTTTTTTGTTTTGTTAACTTCTGCTTAGGTCATTCTGATTAGACCCAAAGGCAAAATGTTGATCTGGTGATAACATGATGTCATACATACCCTTACAGACATTCTTTTCTTTTTATTTTTTTTATTTTTTGATAACATGACATCAAACCCACCCTTACAGAAATTCTTTTTTTTTAAAAAAAAAAAACACTCAAATAACTCTAAGCCCAGAGACTTGGGCAGGCAAAAGTATCCTGCTGGAATTTAAGAATGTTTTTTATTGGTTTGTATTCTTGCTACTTGCATTATGGGCAAGTTATTTTGGTTTCAAACTCAGGGAAGTGAAATAATATTTCCTTCTGTTCTTTGATGATTTTATGGTTTAAATGCTACCCCCTTGATTCACCAGACCTAGAATTCATCTGCAAGAACTGTCTCTCACAACACTGGAATAAACCCACTTGTCAAGTGCACAGAAAACATTTTCTAGGACACAGTCTATACCGGATTATGTAACAAAATCCAATCAATTGTGAAGGATTAAGATATATGCTTACATACTTCATCCTTAATAAAAATGCAACTAGAAACTAACACTAGAAGGAAACGTGGGATATTCACAAGCATGCAAAATTAGTCCACCCTGAGACAGTCAGTAGGACAAAAAAAAATGTCAAAGGAAATCGGAAACGATTGCAGACAAATGAGAAAGAAAAATCAGCAAACCACTGCCTTCACGGGAAGCGTCTACAGCTGTGCTTAGAGGGAGGCATGTAAAGGAGGTGGAGCGGGGGGG